CGGCCGCACTCACCACGCACGTATGCTTAGGATGTCAAATACTGTATTGGTCCAGACTCGATTATTTACAGACCGGTGTCATATAGCCGTAGAATTTCTGAGTGTGGCGTTTAACAACAAACAAACAAACAAACAAACAAACAAACAAACACGCCCCATATTCAAAGTAAATACCTGGAATGAGTATTTCTGGCTAGAACAGTTCCCCAGCACCATATAGCAGTTGTAGGATGCGACCAAATCGATCGGTGGTCAGGCAACTTGGTTGATAGCTTGTCATCGTACCCCCGTTTTGTGGATCGTTGTTCACAATATCAATCACTGGATTGTCTTATCAAACTTATTTTATCATAGCTGTCCTAGAACTGGAATACTGCTGTTGGCGAAGTTAAGTAACAGACCACCAACGAATGATATAATACATTACGCAAATAGATTTTTAGTAATATTATTACTACCTCCAAACCGTTTTAAGTATTTGTTTACCATCTGTTTACATGTTTATCCGACACTGATTCCCATGCGCATCTAAACACACTCATACTCATACTGCATATCGAGTTACATCTCTCCATTTACAAAAAAACTATTTATTTTTCAAAAAAGTTGTCACGTTAGACGAGAAGACCCACCGCAGTTAATCAATACTGGAATCGTAGACAAGCGAATCTGATAACCCATTAAATATAATAAAGCCAGTTGGGTAGTGTGTACATCATCCCACGCCGACTCTATCAGCAAGTCGTAACCTCTGCCGTAGACCGTCACGTAAGTACTTCAATCATATAGATTTCACTCGTTTGCGAATGGCTGTCTGGCACCGCGTTATTGACACCTAGTGTGCCAACATCTATTGCGTTATTTATCAACCACCGTATGAAATTGACTCAAACCATCCCGTGCATAAGAACCTCAGAAATACGCCAGAGCGACGTGAGCTGCTAATTATACAGTGTCGTTACATTTTCTCTGATCAACGGAAACCATTAAGAACATTGCAACTCGACTACTTGAACGGAGGCTGCTGTGCTGCGTGTCTGTCATTAGTTGAACCGTCCTACCCGAATGCTGTTTACGTAATGAATGAGAGGCAGATTTCTTGCTATCAATCACATGCCCGATGGATCAATTACTTGATTTGCCTAACGTCGTGGAAGTCATTCCGCTTGAATTCACGTTACAGAAATAACTTGCGAAACCTCATCTCTGTGTACAGTACACTGTAGTATAGTATGACGATTCCGGGAAAATGTTTTCATCATTATAGAGAGAGACACATGTATTAAGAAATATCTATTATAATTTAAAGTCAATGTCAGTCCATCCCAAGAAAACCGAGGAAGATAAGGGCCTCTTTTTACAGATGAATGTAACTAGTTACATGCAACAAGCTTTATTTTTGCATGCTTGGGAACACGTTATTCGTGATGAGAATAGTTTTCCATTCAGTGGCCAATTGCACACGAGTCCTTTCATTGGCTGGGACACACGAACAAGCAAAAACACCCGAAAAGAAAAATCATTTAATGGGGGCCCAAGTTATTTTTTTCATTCTGAAAGTACATTATGTCACGATACATGTTAGTTTATCCATGTATGTGTATACTAATAAGACGTCATTAACCTAGTTTCTGAGAATCCATGGATGCAATACTCGTCTTGACGCGAATAAAGCAAATACGCTGCTGAAAGAAGTTATTAAAAGCCACAAAACCCTTCCTACATTCATAAATCTCTGCCAAAAGCAGTGTCGTTTGTACGAATCCAACTATATCATAAGCATGCGTTTATGAACCACTATCACTTAGTGCAACGGCAGATTAACTATAGTAATATGGATGATTTGGGTGTTCTTTAACTTCTTTTAAGTAGTAGAGGGGCGGTCGGGTAACCTAGTGGTTAAAGCGTTCGCTCGTCACGCCGAAGACCCGGGTTCGATTCCCAACATGATTACAATGTGTGAAGCCCATTTCTGGTGTCCCCCGCCGTGATATTGCTGGAATATTGCTAAAAGCGGCGTAAAACCGTACTCACTCACTCTTTTGAGTAGTAAATGTTTTAATTCGCCTGTTTTTTTGTTTATCGCCGCACCCAGCAATATTCCAGCTGTATGACGGCGGTCTGTAAATAATCGAGTCTGGACCAGACAATCCAGTGATTGATATCATGAGCATCGATTCACGTAGTTGGGATACGATGACATGCATCAACTAAATCAACGAGCCTGACCACCCGATCCCATTATTCGCCTCTTACGGCAAGCATGGGTTGCTGAAGACCTTTTTCTACTCCAGATCTTCACGAGTAGTTTTAATTTGCATTGAACTTGGAGTATCTGTGGTGTTTGTTGGCATGTACCACGTCATTGACGGTACCGTTTCTCAGCGTCAATCTCATTGATATATGTCCATTGTTGTTAAGCTATTATTCGTAACATATTCAAAGATTCAATGTCGTAATAATGATATAAATGGCAGTCAAAGTAAAAATGTGGAATCAATGGTTGCTCAGGCACTGTGTCAACATTCACTAGACTCAATTGAATGTATGTTACTTTATATGAGAAATAATTAGCCTTTCATCGCGCATCTGACCCTTTACTTCGCATTTATTCCTTAAGTAGGAAAAAACTATAACTGCAAATAGTGTTGCAATCTTGTTTGACCCAGCTGTCACAGAGTGAATTAAGCCTACTTCTAAATAGAGTGATGTATGTTTGGATCGCACGTTGGGCAATGAGGACTGCATCGATTTCATATCGATTTCACACATGCCTTTTACAAGTAACGGTTTTGAAACCAGGAAAAGATGATATAAATTCACGGGATGTAATAAAAAAGTCGTGTAACCCTATTTAAGGATTTGATAAATGGATTGGTTGGAGTCCTGTGCCACCAGTTAATATAAATACCATCATGATATCCAGGTTAGAATTGAACTTCAGCAACCCATGCTTGTCGTAAGAGGCGACTAACGGGATCGGTTGGTCAGGCTCGCTGACTTGATTGATGCATGTCATCGTATCCTAACTGCGTGGATCGCTGCTCATGATGTCAAACACTGGATTGTCCGGTCCATACTCAATTATTTACAGACCGCCGTCATATAGCTGGAATATTGCTGACTGCGGCGTTAAACAACAAGCAAACAAACAAAAGTCATTGTCCCATGTATTCAATGACCCGGGGGTCAACGTGAATCATTGTCCCGGTCAGTGTATCCTAGTTCACATTTTCCCTGGACATTGTTCCACGGACAATCATTGTCCGGAGTTAAGTTACAGTGTATCAGGATACGTTGTCCGCCAAGTTCTCATTATGCTTGGCGTACATATACCAGGACTCAATGTCCGGGCAGGACAATGTAATCCAGTTGCCACTGTCCTACGTTAATGAGACCTCTTACAGCGGGTCCCAACGGAGTCCACAATTCCAGTGCAAACGTTATCAACATCAATAGCCAACGTACGTTTACGGTGTACGCTTATGAGCCAAGTCGTTGTCATAGTTCCTGGGTGGTGCGAGGCGAGGTGGGGTGGATTCAGGCGACTAGGGGTGGGTGGATGGCCGGGTGGACTGAGGTGGAGTGGCCAGAAGGACGTGGATCAGATTGGCTGGGTGAATAAGGTTGAATGGGACAGGTGAAACAAGGTTTATGATTGGGTGTGTGAGGTAATATACCCGCATACGTGTTTTATCTGTATGGCATTGTGTAATTCCTACAGTTGTCAGAATTCATGAAGCCATAGATCTGAGTGTTGAAACTATGATTAAAATATTTGCTAAAGTAAAATAATTACGCTCAGTTCAATAGATGTCGTTTAAACAGCCACGTTACGTGCACCCGAGGCAAACTCAACCTTTTATAAGACATCATATTTATGTGTGATTAATACTTCATTCGATGAGGGGCCGTCGGGTAGCCTAGTGGTTAAAGCGTTCGCTCGTCACGCCGAAGACCCGGGTTCGATTCCTGACATGGGTACAATGTGTGAAGCCATTTCTGGTGTCCCCCGCCGTGATATCGCTGGAATATTGCTAAAAGCGGCGTAAAACCATACTCACTCACTCACTCACTCATTCCATGAATGCTTATGTATTGACACACAAGTTATCACTGCAATGCATGTTATCATTAATGTACATCAAGCATAGACAAATCCCTTGACAATCGATGGAGAGCCACAAGATTGTATCACCGTCTATACAGTTATGCTGCTAAATGGCTATTTCAAAACAAGGGCTGTGGTCTTACGCCCTCTCACTCAACAGCATACAATGAATTGATGGGCAAATGTGTTGAATCGTACAGGAATTCCTTGTGATGTGCCAACGCATCAAACTGTGAGCTTAGTCATCGTTCACGAAATCGGAAGAACGAGATAGAAGGAGGTGTCCCCCTGCCTTATAAACACACAGATGAGCTAGTAAGTGTTTCAAAGAGCGGAGTCTCATGACATATTAACAATACGACTCACATGAGGAATAAATGTGTATCATTCAATTGCCTCCAGGGAACAGTGTTGCTTCACCGTGCGTTGCAGATCACAGAATGAACTAGCTTTGATTGATTTTTTACTTGCAAGAACAAGATGATTACGCCTATCGTTGGTGCACAATCGTTTATCCTGGCTTCATGTTTTTCAACCTTATCGCTTTTAGTCTTTAAACACGTGGATCAAAGAAAAAATATCAAATTAGCAAGGACGTTATCAAGACACACATCAATGTCAGATTTGGCAAATGAAGTTCAATGATGATCAGGTACCCGTTTCCTTGCTCGGCAATGCGATATCACAATAGGTATATTAATAAGGAACATACAAAGAACAAAGGACAATATTGATTACGAAAATTGTGTAATGGCTTGATGCAGCACGATTATACCTTCTGGCACGTATCGTTGTAATGTGCTGATACAGCTGGAATAATGCTGACAAAGCATTACCAACAAATACATCACATCAATGTGTATTTGTCCTCTACAAGAAAAGAACTCACCTTTACGATCTTGTAGCAGGGGGGTGGGGACTTCTGTTGGTGACGTCCTCGTGGTCAGTGGGTCATACGGCATTCACAGTACTACGACAACTACACGACTATCAACAATACACGATACGTCCATCAAATGTCACAACAGTGTCAAACAAATGTCACCTGGGGTGCTGACAACAACGCAAACTGGAGCAAATCACACACAATATATGTCATGTTCTAACACAGGTTATATCAAATTCCCCGCAGTCTTCGCAAGGACCTCGTTCATAATGTACACGTACACCTGTGCGACACGAGATATACACCAGTAAATATAACCCCGGGGTAATGAGTTCAATAGGAATCGATGCAAATCACAGGTCAGTGCAACAGTTAACATCCAGATCGAACAGAGACCAATGCCCAATACAGGAAGGGCTTACAGTACCCAAAATGTCAAGGAGTCGTCCAAAGCTGTGTCACCAGGGTGAGTAAACTGGCTCCGAGATTGAGATGGTGGATGTCTAGATCTCCAAAGCTCGTCTCTGCCTCCTTGTTGGTCTGTGCCAGTGAGTAGCAGCGAGAGTACTATAGAAGATCAATATAAATCACCCGAGGGATCATTACCTTTCCACGACCGCGCTCTGCGACCATTTTCTCCTGTTTTCGTTCCAGACTAGGATGCCGTAACGAACTGTCTGTTTTCCTTCCAAACCGGCACGTTTCTTTGAGACTAGGACAAGCTGCGTTATGATAAGGTTTATCTAATCAACGTCAGGCTTCACGAATCTCGCTGGAACATTTCCCGCATCGTTATGAGGTTGGCTAAGGAAAGTGAAATGAATGAAATCGTTTTTGCCTGTATTGAAATTGTTCTATTCAAAAAGGGCTTAAGGAATTGGGATTCTGTCCTCATTATTCATCATTATGTCTTCAAGCTTCGAATATCAATGTGTTTTTTTCTGGTGTGACGTACACATTTACTTGCAATGAGATTTTTGCGTCGCGATAATACCATATCACGGCATCGCTTAACTGTCCATATGTTAAACCTCTTAAGTGTCATAGTCCTATATAATTGAGAGATAATATTTAAAGTTTTGATTTGCAGCAAATATTATAGCAAAATGAATCTCTGCCAACTCTCAAATTGTGGTTACCCGACTTAACTAGTGTCAATGAAGAAGTATATATTTTAATGCAACGCTTAAGGGAATATTGAATGGCTTATTTTGGTTAATGAACTGTGTTCGTGCCTGCTCTCTCCTGTAGAGGAATGATGAATATCGATTTCGTTTTCTTGTAAATATCGATCAAGACATAACTTTCTCATATTGCAGACAGCCGCGTCAGTGAATTCATAAATGGATTCGTGTTTTCAAAAATATTTGCTATATTCACGTTTTATATTATTCCATGAATTCTGATTCAGTTACAACATGCATCTGTGTGTTCGTGACAGTAGACGGTATTTCATGGAAATTTCATAGATAGTATACGCGTAACATATATAAAGCATTGTCTCAAATCATCTGCAAGTTCCATGTTTGTATGAACACGAAGCTGGTACGAGTAGACGTTAGAACACGAATCTATATCTGCGGCACTCTACTGACACAAACCATCATTGCACAGAGGAGAAACACACAGAGAGGGGACACAAGTTTAACATTTGACAAAATAAGATTTAAATTCAAACTATCATGTTTCAAATTTAAAAAGAAATATATCCATGAAAAATAACAATTAAAAAAATAGTGTTAGACAAGCGCAGAACACGTCACTTCTAAAACCTTTAAATCATTTTGAACAGAAAAGGTCTGACTAGTGTTGATGAGCAGGTTTAGGTTAAGAGCCCTGTCTTATCTGACTTACAAATTCGTTAAATCAGTTGAGCGCATGACTGGTCGGCGCCCAGTAAAGCGCTAAGATAGATCACCGTTTGCCTATCATTAACATTTGGCTGGCCTCGAAAACTGGACGCACACTGGAGAGAATGATGTTCTTCCATCGTGGCACGAAAACAATTACTTATGTTCTCAATAGCAGCATGGAGTGTTTGTCTGAGACGAAACTGTCGGTATGTTGATTTATGTGTTATTTGCTTCATATACATGTTATGAGAAGGTGAAGTGATGCATTAAGGCTATCTGTATGAGTGATGATGATATTGCTGTATATGCTGCCTCCTTGATGCCAACCATATTTATTCTGTATTACACTTGCATACGATGTAGATGAGGCACAGGAGTGGGTGATGGAATATTAACATTGGTTGTTTGAGTGAAGGATCGGAACCGACAGATGAACAACCGCTAGTACAGGACTCAACAACACAACAGATTGAAAGAAGATTGGAGGTGAGGTGAAATGGGGTTAACGTCAAAGATTATTGCACTTATAAAGCGGCGCGCGTGTGTGCGTGCATGCGTGCGTGTATGTGTGTGTGTGTGTGTGTGTGTGTGTGTGTGTGTGTGTGCCGCGGCAGATGGATGGTTCATGTCTAGATGTATATAGATGTATTGTCCGAGACGGAATCAAGGATCAACACGACTCAACCCTCACTGTGATACATCTCCACTGCACAAATCCGACTAAATTATAAGCATGTGTTTATAACTCTCACTGTCAAATGGTGATGATACCAGGTATTAACGAAAAGAAGAGCGTATCCTGCCCTACTGGTGGCATAAGTCACAAACACATGCAAAAGCAAGTAAATTGTTGAACATAATGGTAAATTTGCCAGTGCGTCAAATTTAGAAATGCAATGCACACGTCTACAATCTAATATCGTTAAATAATTTTGAAATAGCCATTATACTTCAACTACTTTACGCACCTAAACGAGAAATATAAGAGACCAATAAAACCGCCTCATCTGTATTATATTTTATGTCAGAAAAAAAGGTAAACAACTCAAGCAAGTCTGTGTGACAATTGAAGATAATTCAATAGTCAAATTTCACTTTGTGTCGAGCAGTATTTCAGCAGCTCCGGCCTTTGGTGTCTACATTTCAAAAATTTTGAGGTACAACCGAGCTTGCTCTGTCCAGTTCGATTTCAAACAGCGTCATACAACTCTTACTCAAATTGTGTGAGTGAGTGAGTTGGGTTTAATGCCCCTTTTAACAGCATTCCAGTTATATCACGGCGTGTCAGCTTAATGTGGGAGGAAAGCCCAAGTGATGTAGGTCTCAGACGATTACCACTTCGGTGAAACCCACGAGCACGGTGCTGACAAACCTAGAACCATCATCGGGGAGAAACGGGATTCGAACCCACAATCATAGGTTTCGCAACTCTGCACAGCGAATCGCGGCGCCTTAGACGACTGGGCCACCCGTGCCCCCCTCATGCTCAAAAGCTGTTTCATACTGGTTACATCACTCAAGGCCTTAATCAATGTTTCAAAACATTTTATGTCATACATGTGCCGGACCTTTCTTAATATGCACAAGTGGCCATAAAAATCCCCCATTTGACTTTTACAGTATGTTCCCTTGTTATTTCCCAGGTGAACACTTGACCTGGCTTTGCATGTGTTTCTGACGTGTACAATCGATGGGGCAGGATACACTCATCGTTTTATGAGTATCATCAGGTATCATCCCCATTTGAAACGCACGCTTGTGATATAGTCGGAAACGTTCAACGGATTCCGCTTTTAGCAGAAATAATTACTATCTTAAGAGTTTTGACTTTTAGATATGCATATATTGGTTATGTTATCTGAGGCCTTGTTGGCGGTAACAACCAGAAACTGTTCTTGTAGAGAAGCCAGAAATTGGATGACACGTGACTGGAACAGACTCGATGTGTGCCAATTCTCTTTAACGTTTTTTGTTGTTGTTGCATTCTTCCACAACATCACATACTCTGAAAGGTTCATCTTCCCTCTTGGTCCAATTTGTGGCATACATTTCGTCACAATGCACAATAACTTTAAAGTTTGGTGCCAATTGATAGCAGAGAGATCACAATATGTTGGAATAACCGACAGAGGTTGTCCACAGCGGACGAGAACTAGCCTGTCATTTTACGACCAACAGGTTGGCAGCAGAATTATGAGTCTTTGCAATCACAAGTATATACATAAGGAAGAAAACGTATGGATGTCAACTTCTTTATTGACGTCCATATATAAGGTCTTTGAAAGGCATTTAGATGTGAAATACACATAAAGAAGAGAATATATGGATGCCAATGAAGAAGTTGACATCCTTATGTGCTCTTCCTTATGTATATATATGATATACTGATGCATAGTTTGTAGATAAAAAGACAAATGGATATTACATACATGTCGCCAAATGAATGAATGCATGAATGCATGAATGAATGAATGAATGATACATACATACATGTACATACATACATACATGTAGCTACAGTGGGGTTTATAGAAGAATGAATGAATGAATGAATGAATGAACGAATGAATAAATGAATGGATAATACATAGCTTCAGTGGTGTATTGTTGCAAAGTTTGACAAACAGTTTTTTTTATCCTGTACACGTTTATTCTGTTGTCCTGATGTATTGTGACACTTGAAGACATATGCTGTGGTACGTTGAAACGTTTCAGTCTGATCACAAAAACAAACAAAAACTTAAGATAGTTTTCCCGTATCTCAATCGGCCTATTCAATGATACATTCACTGATATTCTATTTAATATTAATGTTAGCACAGTACTTAAGAACAACTGTGTATAACGTATTTACCAGTATATCACGAAAATAGGTGACACTAAAATATAACGCACGTGCTCAAGAGTTATAACAAATTAACAATTTAATACATTTAGCATTAACACAAGTCAAACCATACCAACATATCCCTAACAACAGAAAGACAATTCAATGACATATATTGTTTATATTCTCACACAATTTCTTGGCCCCTATCGTCACAAATAATTTACATTTTGTGAACCGCAGTGCCACTGTCAACTTCAGCTGACATACCTGTCGACCCCGGCTTGTCCGGCCTTGACCCTACATGATATCCGCTCCACACACGCACACACACACACACACACACACACACACACACACACACACACACACACACACACACACACACACACACACACACACACACACACACACACACAGCTGAAGTTGACAGTGGCATATATATAACAATAAACTGTCACTCACAGTGGTGGATATATGGAAGAATGGTGGCTATATAGATGAATGGATGATACATGTTGGTAGCTACAGTGATGGATATATGGATGAATTAATGAATGAATTATGGATATATAGATGAATGGATGATACATGCCTGTAGCTTCAGTGGTGTATATATGGATAAATGAATGAATGAATTAATGGTGGATATATAGATAAAAGAATGATACCTAGCTACAGTCGTGAATATATGGATGAATATATGAATGAATGATGGATAACCATTGGTGCGTCTAGAAAGTTTTGCGACACCCTGTTGAGATTTCCAAAGACTAAAGCTACTTTTACACGTGTTATTTTGTATAAGTATGAAGCGACGTGATAAAATGGTTGCTCACTGTCACTCAGAAATTTTAAAACTGTTGAGGCATGTGTTGTAATTGACAAGGAAGGTTACTTGTAATAAGAGTAGCGTATAGAGGAATGGGTGATGCATCACTACAATGATGGATGGACGAATAAATGATACACAGCTACTACAATG